TGTTTGACTTCTGAACTAGTATTTATTCGGCGTGTTAATGTGTCTTAATTACTTTCATAATAGTTTTTATCCAACGTTATTTAAATATACTTTTGAATTGACACAACATATTCTAAAAATGAACCTTCCTAATTTTTCTCACTCATGCCTAAAATATTAGGTGCAGTTTGCAATTCCTCTGAAGCTTTTTCTACACTGAAACTATATTTTTCAAATCGGTTTTAACTGCTTTTGAGTGATTCACTCCCTACATTGACTATTATATGCAATTATCGGCTTACGTTATAAGGTATTTATGCCGTCTTCTTAGCGTGCCTTCGTGGTGTGGTGTCTGCACGCTGGCCGCGTATTCCAGAGGTCCGTGGTCCAATTCCCGACGAAGGCGTTGCTCATTTTTCATCGCTTTGCTTCTAAAAAATACCTACAAATTTATCTCCTTCAAAATGACTTTAACAAAATTCTATTATGTTCGTCATTTACAGAACATCTTTTTGTAATGACATTTGAAATTAGAGATTTGAACCCCTTATTTGTTCTTCAATAATTATTATTTCTTCTCTGAGTGAGTTGCACAATGCTGTTTGAAAAATTCTCGACTTTGTTTTTCTCTGACTGCAGTTATCAAAAACATTAAAATTCTTTAACAGTTTTTCGTTTTCGTTCAAGCTTAAGTCTTTTCGTCTGCATTTCGACATTTTTATGCAAACAAGAAATTTTAATAAATACTTGTTCCAATGATTTATTAAAATTTCAAATTTTACGTTTCTTATCAACAGAGAGATTACCCTTTGTGTGTCTTTGTTCATATTATTAGCATAAGCAATGTTTTCCTTTCTTTCTCTATAGCCCAAAAGGGCGTTAGCCCGGATGGACTCTTTTAGTCTCGAAACGGGATTTGGCGGCATATCATCTTAAATTTCTAAATCACTTTTCAAATTGTTGCCACCAAAAATTTACCAGAGAAAAATTAATTAATGAGGATTTACTTATTGCTTTAATGAATTCCACCTTTTTGCATTTTTGTCTGATGAAATATTATAATCTAAGTCTTATTCAGTTATATCTGCTCCCGTGAGAAGGAGCTTAACGGAATGAACATAGTATATTTTTATTTTTGGATTTATGCTGATTCTTGTACCTGATTAGGATTTGATTTATTAATGACCACTTTACATAATTGTTGAGTACAGAAGGGCTCATTTAACATATTAATTCGTTATAATTAATTAATTATTTAATTCTTTTTATATAATCAATTATTAAACTGCGTTTTATTATATGTATTTTTAATGGGTATTTAGAAAAAATTTATATTAAAACTATTTTGGAGAGAAATTATTTGTTGCTGAATAAGAGCAAATTAAGGAACTTTACAGTTTGTTTTAAAAACCTTTTCTTTATTTACATATGTATTTCTTTATTTATACATTTTATTTTCTTTACTTATGTAAACATTTCCGTTACGTGAAAATTTTTAAACTAAAATTTCTATTTTAGTACCCTTAATGCGTACGTTAGTTTTAGCAAAGTATGAGCAATAAATAGAAGTGATTAGCGATATCTGTATGCAGGCACATAGATGTAATTATTTCGATATGCTCTTGTAATCAACTTGCCTGGCATATAACTTCTCTTGTCTAATATAACTGGCATAATATCTCACTTGTCTGCAATAACATCAGATCAAGATGAAGAACCGTAAACAACAGGAAAGCTTGGCTTAGGATTTGGGCAACTTTGTTGGCTTAGGATTTGGGCAACGTTATAGGTAACAGTGGCGCTAGGAGGAAGGATCACCCACTGGAGCTAGCTCGAGGCTGCCTTAGCGCAGTTAAACGCTCAATCCCCAGTGGCGATCCATGGGGCCGCTAACCTATAGGCCGCTAACCATGAGCGAAGACTAAGCCGAGTCGGCTGGCATACTCAGCAACTCACATTCCACTTACCCGTCCTGGAGGGAATGTAAAAACATCTGGCATCAACAGGGGCTTTAACCCTGGACAGCAGAGCGAAGTCACTTAAGCATTGTCAGATAGACCGGGTCACCAATCTGAGCTGCTAACTCTACGATACGGTATACACACGTCGTTTCCAGGCGCCCCCAGGGACGGGAACCAAAGAAGGATATGAATATGCAGTTTGGAGGCTCCAGGTGCAAACTAGAAACCTCAAGAAGTCGCTGAACTTGCTAACTCTGTCAACGGGGTTCCCCCCCAGACAGCCATGAATATATGACCATATAGCTACACTACAACCAACGGAATGGACAAAACTACCATATCGTGCCATCTTCAGCAATGGCTCCAGTCCTGTGACAAATGATTTTATATCCTCGTGGCCAAGACTTCAGGTACAGATTCTAATCAGTAGCTTCCCGGGTTTTACTTGAGTGAACCCCCCGGGAAAACCCCCTAAATCTGACAGTAGAAATTTTCCTAGCTCCACCCTAGTTATGAAAAAAGGAAACAAATAAATAAATCCACACGTGACGAATTTGAGGGTCCCCCACCGTTGTTCCCTTTTCACTAACCTTGCAAAAGACTTTTCAACTTGACCATATTTGAAGTGACCCCAAGACGAAAACTCTCTATATTTACACACGTCCACGATTTCTCTGTGATTGAAACTTGGGTCCAAGGCTATAATGGCGAGCTCCAAAATCGCCATGCCAAAAGGACGGGAAGTTTGACACGTAAGGCAAATAATAATCATCACCATATATTCTCAAATGCTGGCCAGTACAAACAACACTGATTGAAATTTCATTTTCTTTTGTACTTATTTTGTAATACTAATGCGATACTATATTTTATAAATGGTATTTCTGTTCTGATTAGCAAAACAAAATAGCTGCATTGTATAATTTCTCAGTTACGGTTATGTTCAAGTTTTTTAGCAAACTTCTTTTATCACAGCAGTTTACGATGCATGCTGTTTTTCATAAGACAGAAACATTTAATGCTTGACGTATTTGTGATTTTAAAAACACGTTCTAGAAAATTTTAATTGTAATTTCGTGTATATTTTTTAATTAATTATCTATTTAAAGCATCGTCTTTTTTTCTTTCTTTTTTTGAGCTGAAACAGAAGGATGGATTTTATTGTTTGAAAAAAGCATATGGCGAGCTAATATAAATTACTTCTTAAAAAAGGCATCTTTTCTGCTTGAATCTCTCTATTCAGCCTTTGTTTTCCAGATAGTTACGCACTAGTAGCTGGAGGTCAAGTTCACTGAAGAAAGTTTTTTCTTACTCTTTTTATGATCCTGTCTTTTCTTTTACCTTTAGGAGTGTATTCGAAACTTGAGAAAAAATATTGTTCTATTCAAATAATTTTTAGCTAACATTTTGAAAAAAATTTAGATTAACAGCTTTGCTGTTTCCTTATATCTAGAGATTTTTCTTATGTATGTTTTTAAAAGTAAACCTTTTCATTCTACTAATGAACTTATGCAGTAAGTTTAGAAACCATAAATTATACATAGTTTTAACTTTAATGTTTTCTTAATTTTCAATTAAGAAACTTCGGTTATACAGGTTGATTGTAATTAAATTTACTCTATTCAGATCTATGTATAGCCCTTTCTGTTTGACGTATTGGGTTGAAACTTGATACATACGTTATGTAGACAACAGGGAAGAGAATACTACATGGAACAAAGTAGTTCAAATTTCAAGCCCTGAGTGAAAACGTAGCGTATAAATAACAAGAAACACAATGTGAAAATGTAAAATGCTCATAGTCACAGGATTTGTTCAGTGGGCATTTCATTTGTGTCAATCATATTTTCAAACTGCGTTACAGGTTATTTAACAATAGCACGAACGATTTCTTGAGGATAAGCAACAAGATGATTTGTTAAGCTTGCATTCAATCAGCGAGAGTCCGTATGCTTCTTCCGTAGACATAACGCATTTGACAGCTAAATTTTACTTAAAATACTAGCAACTTTTATTTCATAAAAAGAAGGATTAAAATATATCAGAAATCGGTTGAAATTTCACTATTACCAGTGGCATAGTTTTTCAAATTATTTTCATCAAATCAATAATAATTCCTAATTTTGTGCCACTTGAACTAAAAACGTTTCGTGCAATTTAATAAGAAATTGATGAAATCTTTCATTTTCCACACAAAGTGATATTCTTAACTTCCAAAACTTAGTAACATTTTTCTTCAGCACTTAATGTAAAAAATAACTTGTTGTCATGTATTGAATCCACTAGAGTAACTCCTGTGTGAAAATTGTACGAGTAGTAACTGCACGGAAGAAGGGTTAAAAGTACCCTTTATTTAACTCTTTAAAATTTACAATGCGTCAACTCGACGCTAACAAACTACGCCTCTGCTTGGGCGGTAACTGAAATCAAAGAACTAACCAAATATTCGGATATATGTACACATTGTTGAACTAAACTACAGGGCTTAGAATAATTTCTGTTCCTTAAACCCCTGTCGAAAACTAGTGGCAGGAAGTAAATGTAGTTTGGCCACGCTAACCAGCAATAACTCTGGGGAGCGAACGCTTAAGCAATAGAGGCGATGGCAATATCTAACTCCACTCTTTCTAACTGAACGTCGGTTTTTAACCTCTTTCTTCAAGGTAGAATTTGCATTCCTTCAAGTGCGCTACCAAATTTAAATATTCTGGCAATTAGGGGACTGAAGGCTTATAGGAAAGAATAACAAATTAAACCAAATTGGTTATTTATAACAAATATAAATCCCTATAAACTAAACTCAATTCTCTAATGCAAATAAAGTATTTTTGAATTAATTAAAGTAATTTCATGTATATAAAATTGATTACCCTTGAAGCCTACGTTTACGCTTCAGTTGGAAATTCTTGCTTTACAAACGTATGTTAAAATGAAACTTAGGCTGAGTTTCTGAAAAACAAGTAGTGATTGTACTACTCCTTGCAGTTTTTAATCAATGAAAATGTCTATAGCAAATTATCTCAAGTTTTGCCTTTTTAACGCAGTTTTCTTTTATTTCAGGAGAGAAGCCGGCTGCCATGCAACATGGTCGTCAAAATAGTGCGCCATTCCAAGCCATGACATCCGTCGTGCTCATTTCCTTCTCCGTGTTCTCGAGCTTCTACCTGCTATAAACCTAGTGGCTAACTGGGTGAGAATATTGCTCTAATCAAGTGGCGACGTCCCTTGATTTATACTGTGGTGCACCGTTGCCAAAAAGGACATCACCACTTCCAGTATTAATGCTGTCATCTACTCAAGATCCATTCTCTATGGACGTCATCCACATGTTGTCATGTATTGAATGCTGTGATGAATTATGGCTTTTATGTTGTGCGCGTGTTATGTACTTGTGACATCAGACAAACACAAACAGAGCCTTTTGTTACCATCGTATTTTAACGGAACAAGATCTCTTAACTACTCTTGGTTTAAGAAGTCATTTATTTTGTGAAAGGCAACAAAAGAAGCGAAGTGTTTTCCTTCTTCATTATTTCTATGGAGCATTTGTAAATTCTCTGATCATCATTACCCTGTTCTGATTTACGTACTGAGTGCTCAACCCTAGTCACGATCGAGTAGAGATGACTTGAAGAAAAATATAAACTATTTGTCATCGATTTTCCTTACTTCAATGGAGAATGAATGTTGTCTTCATAGTGCCATTTGATAATGGAAATTCTAGTGAAGTGACTTAAGCATATGACTGGCGCATTGCATTGGGTATTTTGGGCAAGTTGAATCGCAGAATGAGAGTTTTATCTGTTTTTTCATTTCACGCCTTTTCTATGGAAATGATCAATGACCATTTTATGAAAACAACTATTTCTTCTTGGGTTTGGTTTGAAACAAGACCCAATTCAAGCTATAGTATTTGATTACATGTAACTTATACCAAAATTTAAACAGTACAGATATTTGAAAGCTGAGTTTTACTAACAATTCTAACAGTTTTTATTTCCTAAAAATAAGGATTTAAAAGGAAAATCTGAAATCAGTCGAAATATCACTATTACTATCCCTTGGTAATATATGTTTTCGAATTATTTTTATCAAATGAATATTAATTCCTACTTTTTAGTTACGTGATTAAAACGCGTTATACAATTTATAAAGAAATGGCTGGAAGCTTTAATTTTCCACAAATTAGGATAAAGTTTAAAAACAGAGTTTCATTTTTCTATAATATTTATTGTACAAAGAAGGTAACTCAATGTTCTCTAATGCAAATATAGTATTTTTCGAAGCAACAAAAGTAATTCCAAGAATATAAAATTGATTAACCTTAAAGCATAGTTATAAAGTTCGAATATGAACTTATTTCTGTACAAACATGTATTAAAATACAACTTGGGATGAATTTGTGAAAAATAGTATTGAGAGTAATATTCTTTAAAATTAAAAAGAACAAGGTAACTAAAAATTCCAGTAACTGCCATAAGGTACTGACAATCTTTAAAATTAATTTTGATTGCATGTTCTTTTAATATATGGTATTCTTGTTTACTTGTAATTAATAAAATGTCATACCTTTATTATTTATGATTATTTTAAAAGTGTATTTTTTAAATAAATCCAGATAATGCTTATTTAGGTTTAATAAAAACGTTACTTTAACTAATGAAACTAATCGTTAACCCTTTGCGGCACAGTGTGTCCGGTCTGGACACACCTAAAAATTTTCTTCTCTACGCACAGAAAAATTGAATGAAAAAATGATTTGTAGGTTACCATAGGTTACTATGAACCTTCCTTATTTATAGTAGATGGCAGCTCAACACAAGCCAGTCAGTCCATATATTTTAGCCATGTTTAGTTTTTTTAAGACCCTCATTTTTCAAAGAAATCTTCCAGATTTTTTAGGGTATAAAAGGAATTGTTTGAAGAGATATTTATGTTATTTTTTTTGGCTGTATGCTAATCTCCTTATTCTGTATTAGTTTTAAATTTTTACCTTGAAATCTTGCCTAAAATCAAACGGCGAACCCTAAGTGCGCCCAGACCGGGCTCACTGATAATCTAGAACAACTGAGAGTCTGCATTCTTTGTTTCTAAGCATTCATCGGTCAGTTCATTGACAACAATGCTCGTTTCAGCACTCTTTTCGAAGCTCTATTCAATCAGTGTGCCACTTTGGGCACACCCACAGAATTAAAACGATAAGTGCTATCTTCACAAATTTTTACTTGTATACTCCTCTTTGCCTAATTAGACTGCCTACCTTTTTTTATCAAAAATCCGAGTTTAAAAGGTAGCGTGTCGGAAAGGGTTAATCATTTATAATTATTACTTTTTCATAATATACAGTAATAGTCTATTCAGTTAATTTAACAAAAATAATTACAATTATTTATATATATTCTGAAGTATTCTTATGAATGTGCGAAAGGACATTTTTGGTTCTAATCGAAAGAAAGAATATGAACGAAAATTTCTGAATATTTGCCTAATAAAATATATCTGACATTTCCGAACACATTCTCCTAACTTTCCTTTTTACTACATAGTTACGATAAGGTGGTGCAGATCAGATATAATACAAGCAAGCACAGTGCACTTGAATAAAAGACAAGCCGTTGTTCTTCAACTACTTTGAAATCATATTTTCTTCAGCATAATATATTTCAGATAAAAGATTCTTTCTTGTAAACATTATGGCAGTTATTAGCACGTAGAGGATCTTAAACTGAGAAAGAAGCACGTTAAAATTTCGCTTTAAAAGCTTAATATTTCATTTTTAACCCATGAGCAATATCTCACATCTCATGAATGTGATTAAAGCAAAAACAGGACTGGAATATAAATGAGAAAGAAAATCTATTCGCAATTTTAAAAATAACTTAAGGTTTTCTTGCTTTGATCTCGTATATTTAAAACGAAGGCGTAAGGGTTCTTTTAAATTTAATTTTTCATTATATGAGCTTTATGAGTTGCAATAAAAATTTTAACATTTTTTTAAATTTAAATATTGTAGGAATATATTTAAAAGTTAAAATAAAAACCCTCAGTTAAATGGATCATCTAAATGGAGTCTTTGAAAGAGTTATTCATAAAAATAATTCACATGTTTTTTGCGCAGTCTAAAAGTACTGAAAGAATTATACTTTAAGGAATAATCAAAATAACATAGAGTACTAAAAAATCAAGAGAAATGGTAATAATTAAACCAAGTAAATTTTCTAAGATAATAAAAGTAAACCACGTCGTCATATACCGGATATATTTTCTTATAGTTTTTGATTTTGCGGTAAACAGAGAAAGTTTAATATCAATTTCTCCAAATGCACTGATATTATATTTTGGCTAATTTTAATTTCTCCTTTACTTGAAAGTTGTTAATTTTAATTGAAAACAAAAATCCCTTTAATTTCATAAAAACATTTTGCATTCATTAATATTTGTATAATATAACTAAATTAGTAAAACTATTTCGAATATAAGTGACTTTCTTGTACTTGAACCTCCTCAAGTCTCTTATTGTTCAAGATATATTTCTGAATTTCTCTCTCTCTCTGGATATATATATATATATATATGTAATAGATTCTGTAGTAGAACGCACGCGGTTAAATCTGTGATAAACAGCGAGACTTTTGATGGCTTAGAGATGTTGAAACTCCAATCAACAATGAATAAAAAATTTGGCACTCGGGGTAGATTTAATCCAACTTTTATTTCAGCAAACATGTTGCGTCCACAAACAAGTTGGCACATTATTTATGCCTATTTCAAAAGTTTACATTTTTGATAATTTTGCAGTAAGGAAGAAGGAGCAAACAGGCTGCAGTCGAGCTAGGCCAAATAGTAGAAAGCAAGTGTTTATGATGTTAGCATTTAAGCAAGTTCTTAAATGTTTAAGATGAAATCTTAATTCAGACTGAGTTTTTTTTTTTTTTTGGTTCTAAATGCATTTTGATTGGATAATTAATACTGCTGTAAAATTACTATTGGCTGTTTGAGTTTTAGTCCCATTTACATAATCAGGATTATGTAAAAGTCGTATGACATGGATTAGTCTCGAAATGACGGTTACTAATAGAGGTTACTAATTTTAGAATAGAGAAGGGAAGTAAATTTACGTTGCTAATTTAAATTTCGCCTTCTAAATATCTCTATTTTTTATCTTCTATCTATTTATTTTTGCTTATAAAATTATAAGAAAAAGAAGTTCTGATATTGGATGCCAGTTGCCTTTGATATGATTATTTTATGTTAATTTTATAAATTCTATACTCTTAAGTAAATTTATTATTTAGTCTCTTTTCTCCATTCCCAGCAAATGATCTTCATTTTCACACCGCTTTTCATCGCATTCATAATAAGCACCTGCTAATAGTCAAAAATACAGTATCCTAATTTCTTATGCTTTTAAACTGTTTTAGATGTATCACGTCTGATACCGAAATTATTAATCATGAATCCAGACGTAAAAAATATCAAATTTGTATTTTTATTCCTTCATGAGCGAAATTCATTAATTATTTATAATCTGCTTATTTGGTTTAATTTAGGACTTCGCGGTCTTTTGCTCTTAGATAAACAGCTCTTAGATCTCTCTTAGATAAACAGTTCTTTCGAATGTTTTATACCTTAATTAAATATATTTAGTTTGTTTATTTTAGTCTTTTCTTTATTTCTAAAATTCGACATTCATAGATATATATTATTTTCGTTGATTCATACCTTTTTTGATATCAACATGCAATGTGACGGAGCATCTCAACGAGGGGGTAACTCCCGTCTGGGAGGGGAGAATTTCTTCGTTTCAGGGTGGATGCAGTGAACCTTTATTTAGTTATTCAGTAGCTAGTTTGAGTTTATAATCAAAAATAAAACAAAACAAACAAAAAACACTTCTTTTTCCAAAAAGTTTGGGTATTTACCAACATTTTCCCTATCCTTTTGTATTTAATTAATAAAACATTTAAAAAAATAAACTAAATCTAAATAAATGTACTATATATGTTTCCTTCAAGTTTAGGGAAAAGGGGAGATGATCTTCTAGCAATGGTGAAAAGGAAGCATGGAGCATAAAATGTTGAGAATCCCTTCAATATCACATTCAGTTCTTTATTCAAGTTTAATTTTGCCTTAAAATAATTATTTGCTTTTAATTCAGATTTTATTACGGTTGTGCAATGCTTGTTTTCTGTATAGTAATACATTCAGTTGCTAGAACTCTATTTTGAAGCACTTTCAAGAAAATTGAAATAGAATGACATGTAGCACATGCTCATTGCTGCACAAATCCCACTGGACTATGTTTCTTTTAATTTTAATATTGTACTTGAGATAAAGATGTTGAAATATAAGGTTTTGTTTTGCGATTATTTTCTTTAAATTGGAAAAAGAAAACTGCAGCATAATATGCAAAGCTCCCCCCTTTATGACGTCAATAAAATAATAATTATTTTTCCTTTAAGCTTAAAAAAAAGGAGAGGGAAAAAACTTCGAAATGAAATCTAAATAAAAATGAACTCTTGAGATGAAATTTACTGACTTTTATGAGGACTGCATGTCAAGAAGTAGAAATTAAATTCGGAAAGTTTTATTATGAATTCAGTTGCATTAAATTCTGTGCAAGTTTTTCCAGTTTTGTTTTTATTCTGTTAATCCATGTATTATATATTTTTCTGTCTTTTTCTCATCTCTGAATTCTCCTTCACACACGTTTTTGTAGGCATTTTCTTTTTTTCGTAATTTTATTATTCATTCACGATCTTTTAAATTTTGTTTAAATTCGGAAATAAAAAAAAACACTCATTTTCATTAGTTCAAAGATAAAGATGTTATTTAAATAACGTTATATATGGACATTAAAGTTTACCTTTGAAATGTTAACATATTAATTGAAACCAGAAATGCACTCAAATGAATATTATAATAACGTTATATATGGACATTAGAGTTTACATTTGAAACGTTAACATATTAATTGAAACCAGAAATACACTCAAATGAATATTATACTATAAACTCCATTTCTTGTTCACAATTTTTTTTTACACGTTCAGAAACTCAGCTTTTATTTCCTAAATTTATAATGATAATTTTGATAATATAAAAGCTGCGATTAGTGAAAAACTTAATGGGCTGTGCTTGATGGGTCATATTCAACAAATTCATTTATATAAATGCAACGTAGTTATAACCAAATACATTTTTCAGAATTAATGTAAAACTTTTATTGACGCTTTTCAATGTGTTTCTTTATTCTATCAGTAACCTTAAGCAAAGTATTTTGCAAAAGAAATATTTTAAAACATTTAGACTCTTACCAATTAAAAAAAAAGGCTTCACATTAGTTAATTTATTTTGTTACTTAGGTAATGTAACATTTATCATAAAAAAACGTTTAAGATAATATTTGTTCGTTGAGAGAAATTTGGTGAATACACACGAAGCTAGATTTTTTTAGTATACTATATATACATATATATCGTCTTCCCTCATTTCTTCGCATACTTTTCACCCTGGCGTATTTTCGTCCTTGCGTTTTGGCGTTAGGTTCTAAGGATTGAAAAATTATTCACCTAAATTTCCCTTTAATCTACTGCACATAGGTTTTCCTTCTGAGAGCTAATTTATTGCATTTTCATGATTATTTTAATTTTTATTCAACATATTCAATTTATATTTTAATTTTTGTATTAACATTTCATCCATATTGCTTTTCCTTCAATTTATAATTCGAAATGTATTTTGTACAGATTCTTAAGCTACCAACACGTGGAAGTGTTCTCACGCTTAAAAACTTTTCTAAATATGTAATTTTACCTTACTTCTATGAGTTACGTTCCAACTTATTGTAAACGTATCTACTGCTGATGTCGTCGATCTTTCGAAATTCGGGACTGTTCGCCCGTT